AACACGGGTCTGTACAGGATGAATAGCTGTTGACTCACTATGACAGATCAGCCATTGGAGACGGAGAGGACACTCCTGACACACTTTTACGAATAGACTGGACTTTAAAAGAAATGAACTCAGATGTCTGTGTCTGAGGGGAAAAAAGAATCATGTGGCAAATTATAAAAAATGAATTTCCACTAAAGATGGAGTCAGACTCGTCTGCGGTCATGTTAGTCCTTGAGATAAAAGCTAACATTAGCATCAGCATGCTAAAATGCTCATGACGATACCAACATGTTAATTAACAGGTTTAATGTTTACCAAATGTGAAGTTATGTCGGTGGAGTTACTGTCTAATCCAAAACACAACTCTGCTGCATTATGGGAAGTGTAGTTTGTCCATTGGTCAGTCCACCACCTGAGTTCAGACAATGTGATAATTTTGCAATTTGGTGCAGACGTGCATGGTCCCCAGAGGATGAACCGCTGTGACTCTGATGATCCACAATGAGGTCGACATCTGTGGTGACGAGTAAAATATCTCTAACTGTTGGATGGATTGCCCCCAAACTGCCAGATGTACACAGTGATAAACTGCTGTATGTTGGTGGAGGATTCATCGTCTGGGGACCATGAATGTTTGTAGAAAAGTTTGTGGCAATCCGTCAGATAGATGTAGAGATATCAAAGCTTTGACCTGCTGGTAGCAACAGATGAGAAGTCAGGGGGGATATCAAATGTCATTAAGGTTCATCATCTGGGCACCATGAATATCTGAAGCAAACCACATGGTCATCCATCCTAAACTTGTTTGTTTTTTTTACTCACAACCAAAAACGTCAACCTCTCGGTGGAGCTAGAGGAGGAGCCGGGGGGGGGGGTCGTCAAAGTCAATCAGGGCAGGGTCTGAAAAATCTCTCAGACACTGTGTGAGCAGCTGCACTGAAGTCGCAGCTCGACTGTAAAAACACACGCTCATTAAAAATAGACGCACTCATTAAGGATACACACAAACAATAACAGACACAAACACTGCCAGAGGAGGTTGGAGCAGCAGAAACTGTCAGGGGAGCGAACGCTGCCAGACACCAGCGGTCCCTGTGGACCAGGCAGCAGATGATGAACCCTCTGAGGGCTGAGGGCACTTTCTGGATTTCGACACTATTTCTTAAAGTCACCTTTTTAAAAGGTTGCACATCCCATAATGCCCAAGTGTCTTATACCACAATGTTCAGAACTATCTCAGCTCTTTCTATAACGAGGCCCCTTGTCGACCCTCTGTGCAAAAAGATCATTCGGCTCAAATGATGAAAATTTGAAATCACTGAGGTGGATGAATTGAAACGGGTTTACCACAGTCTTAGGTTCATAAAACAATAGAGCGATATGAGTGAAACAGAAGATTAATGTTTAATAAAAGGCTAAATGTGGACGTGTTGTCTGTCGCGCTGCTTTAACAGGATTTTAGAGGCGTGCTTCGAGGCCTTCTCTCTCCGGCTTTGAGTCACGTACAATCTCACAACAATGAACAAGAAATATTTCTACTCTCTGTGATCGCAAAGATATTAATAGAAACATCTGTCGACCTCAGAGGGTTAAAATGCATCAGACACAGTGTTTGACTCCGGGGGTGTGAAGGTTTGTCTCGGTCACTATATAATTCAAAGCATACGGAGCGTATTGTACAGTTGGAGCTACGCCGACTCTCACGGGAACATGAATCAGACCAACAGGAAGCTGCTGCAGCGGCTGTATTCGTCCAGCTCAGGTGTCTCGGGGAGATACGCAGGTCACGCACGGTTCACATTTCCAGAGCTGCAGACAGAACCTCAAACCCATTCAGAGCATCAGCTGCTCAGAGACTTTGTTTGTTTGATTGTTATTGTTCTGACGGACGTTCTGATTTACAGTGTTTATATCTCAGGGCCGATAAGACGAGGTGTTTTAAACACATTTAAAACAAAGCTGCACTTATCGCATAAAAGACAGAAGAATAGAATAACACGGATTTAAAAGTTAGGAGTTGATGGATGGAGTTTTTGGATAATCGTGCAAACTGAATATTTAATCGTTGTAGCTTCAATGGTCTGATTGTCTGAGACCGTGTGTTTTATTCCAAGTATTTGTGGAGCGCTGACGTGAAGCTTCCTCGTATCAGATTAGATGATTTGAGACTGTAAACTCTCCTCTAACTCGGGATAATCTACCACCTCCTAACTGCAGTTTCATTTTTATTTCACAGTGTGCGTGTGTGTGTGTGTGTGTGTGTGTGTGTGTGTGTGTGTGTGTGTGTGTGTGTGTGTGTGAGTGACAGCACCACGTCACCAGAAGTCTCCTTTGTTGAGCCTTATTGTGTTAGTTAAGCCAGCGCTTTGTTCTTTGAATTAAATGAGTCATTAGCAGATTATACTCTATAATACTATCCAACTGTAATCCATGACCCACACGCTCGTCTGGCGGCGGCCCCGGGGCGTCCTGAAGGACAACAGAAAGAATAAAACACAGGCGAGGAGGATTTCTGGTGAAGAAGGCGTTGATTGTTTTCAGGGATTCAGGCTCGTCACTCAGTGAGCGTCAGGCTGAAGGAGGTCACAGGTCTGAGGTCAGGGCTTAAAGAGGGTGATTACACTCCATCATGTTTACAGCAGCAGTCATGGGAGTCACACGCTCACACAAACTGTCATGCAGTATTTTACTCCTCTACACTTAAATAGACAAATGTTGTACTTTTGGCTCCACGACCTTTCTGAAGGAATGAATCTTCTTTTATTTTGAAAGTGTGAGAAAAACCCACTGACAGTCGGCTCCTCCACTGTCGGCCATGTTTGAACCTGTCAGTGTCCTAACAATGGCCACGAGATAAAGATGAGGAAGAAGATTCTTCAAGTCCATGTTTTAAAATGCTTAAATTAAATAAAGATTCCTTTAGTTTAAAATGTTTTCTGTGTTTAACACGAACAAAGTTCATCTCTACCTGCAGAAATCTGCCGTCCCACTTTAGAGAGCGTGTCCAGGTGTTACATGTCTGTTTATGTCCAGATGAACAGTTTGTAGTTGGCGTCGTTTTGTTGGTTAAATTGTGTTTTTATGGCCGTTTCTATCAGCTGTGTTTCATGTTCTACAAGCTGTTTATTCTACAGGTTCTACAGTCAGTCAGAGCTTCAGTCAGTCGCTTCTGAGGCTTTAGATTCTGTAAATGTGGAACAAAACAACAACGAGCTGATGGACAGAGAAAGTACTTTTCAATACTTCAGTATTTTTACAATCAAGTAAATGAAGTAAAACAACTTTCACTTGTACTGGAGTCACATTTGATCAGAAGTATCTGTACTGTGACTCAGGTAATACAGCTGTGAACTGTGTCCACCTCTGGAATTATTATACCCTATATAGTGGCCTCATCGTATCCCACAATGCACCTTTAAAAGTAGTGTACAGGTGATGGCCACTAACCAAGCAATCAAACATATGGCGCAGAGAAAATGGCCGACGAGCTCACCACACGGTCCTTTACAGAGTGAGTGAAGAGCTTTGTCAAGTCTGATGTCACAGTGACGTCATCATGGTTATCTGCGATTGTTTTTAACAGAAAGCTCGTGTTAACCGTCCAGTCAAAGACACAACTACAACTACGCTGCATTATGGGAAGTGTAGTTGGTCCATAGTTCAAGTCCATCACTTTAGTCCAGACAATATTAACGCTGACTCCTCCAGCGCCATCATGAGGTCGACATCTGCGGCGACGAGTGGAATCTCTCACTACTGGATGAACTGGCTCAACATGTCGGAGGAACTCAGTAATTAACTGCTGTAACTCTTCCATTCATGTTCCCTCCGACTCTGCGGAGGCCTCCACACGTCCTCCTGTATCTTTGTTAAATACAACACAGATTAATTCATTCACGGCGGCTCGGCCGGTGTCAGAAGATGCTGAATCTGATTAAAGTCTAATTCTGGCTCTCACACAAACACAGTCTGTCTCTTACCACCCATGACTAATACCATTAGGACCCCCGGGCTAAAACGGGGGTTTGCTGTGCTACTTTTATAGACTGCATGCAGGAACAAGAGTCTGTGAGTGTGTGTGTGAGTGTGTGTGTGTGTGTGTGTGTGTGCAGCAAAATGATTTGTCACACTCGCAGCACACTTGCCTGAACAAAGAAGTGCCCTCTCTCTGCAGCATCACAAAGCCCGGCGGTCGCTACGCCATGATTGGTGGAAAGCACTGTCTCTGTCATGTGATTGGTGCGTAGCCCGGGGGCTCAGTTATCATGAGTCAGCCCCTTTTTCTTGCATGAGACGAGGGAGAGAGGAGAGGAGGGAGGGAGGGAGGGGGCGGAGACAGACTCAGCGGGCTGAGAGAAAGACGGGCAGCGACATGAAACCTTCGTCTAGTCGTATGAAGCAGAACCTGGAGCTCATGTGAACAGAAAGCTTTATTAGAAAGCTGTGTGGTCTCACACGTTACACAAAAGGTACGGAAGGGAATGCTAACCTCCTTTTTTTTTTTTATTTTATTATGTATCTCAAAAATATCTGTATAAACTGGAAATAAATGTCTAAAGATTTTCAAACATTTATCATCGCAACCCCGATATTTAAGCAGAAAAACATGAAAAAAAAAAAGGAACACGTGGGGAACTATGTCATTATGGAAGTCCCAAGTTCAGTGGGAGAAGGCAAAGTGTCCCAGTGTGTGTGTGTGTGTGTGTGTGTGTGTGTGTGTGTGTGTGTGTGTGTGTATGTGTGTGTGTTGTTCTACAGATGCACTTTTAGATCATTTCAGTGTGTTTTAATATCTGAGCAGAAGGTCTGAAATCTGCCTGACAACAGAACGGAGAGAACGAATAGAAAAAGATGATGCACACGGAAAATGATAAAAAAAAAAAAAAAAAAAAAAAAAAATAGAAATAAAAAAAAAAAAAAAAAAAAAAAACGCCACTGAAATGAGTTTAACTGTAGTAAGAGAACATGTGTGTCCGATGACCTCACTGCACCAGGTCACACAGTGTGTGTTAGAAGCGTCTGTAGTAGCGGTGCGGCGGGCCGTAGTGCATGGGCAGGTCCATCACGTCCATGTTGTGGTGGTGAGGGTTGACGGGAGGGTTGTGGTGGTGATGGTGGTGGTTGTTGTTGTTGTTATTGTTCAGTGGGGGCAGGTGCTGCAGGGGGGGCACGTAGGGCGCTGGGGGCAGCCGGGGCACGATCACCTGGTGGTACATCCTGCCCTGGGGCGGAGCCGGAGGGTAACGGGCACGCGGGGGGACGAACAGGGGAGCTTGTACCGCCTGGGGGTGGGGTGGGGCCGCCGGGTTGGGGTTGGGTGGGTTTTCAGGGGGCGGACCCACACGCGGCCGCTTCACGTCGGTAATGGGCTCCGGAGGAGGACCGACCCTCTTCCCTGAATTATCTGAGAGAAGAAGAAGAAAAAAGGGAAGTTACTGATGGACCAGCCGCCTGTCCCCACCCCCGCTTTTATACGAAAACCCCTGCACGCCCTCACCTGCCTCGCACACTGTACACAAACACATTCAGACAACACAAACACAGGAAACACCCTGCGACTGCGGCTGTAAACAGCCACGCTGTCTGACTAAATAAATACAGGTTAAAAAGACGAAGAGGAAGCGGCAGAGAGGAAGAACGATGCTGCTGCACTGCAACATTTCTCTGCCAGGGAACATCATTCACCACATTTGTACATCACAAAAAAATAACAGCGCGTAGGTGAAGTGATGAATGGGACACAAACACTGATCGATAATTAATAGCTTCAGCGGTTCCAGTGAAAAACTTTGGTCACAGTTTTCGAAGCCCTCACCTGCACATTTCTTGTTCAGCTCCGCCTCTCCTTCTTTCTGGATCTCCTGGATGATTCGCTCGTCGTCTTGCTGCAGAAACACAAACACAAACGAAGGCGTGTGAAGGTCTTTCCAAGGACATGAAGGCAGCAGATGAATCATTAAGGTGACAGATTTAAGGGAAAGTCTCACAGGAACAACAGGACTACCTTTACTAATAATTCTATTAACACTCCTACTGTGGGACGTTTAGCCTCCGGTCATTTCTGAGGTCACAGTTTGTAACGTTTTTCCTGTTATTTTGTTTCCTGGAGACGCTGAACAGTTCCCACCTGCATCAGATACTTCCTTCTGTAGCACAACCCTGTAACGCGCAGTTATAAATCAAACCTGAGCCGCCACAGCGCTCGCTTCACCGCAGGCTGGCTGCGTGTCAGTCTGGACAACAGTCGCCACACAGGTGAGCGTCGTCCAGCTGATGGCGTGCTCGTCTGGAACGTGTTTATCCGATTTAAAAGAAATTAACTTTTGGGTTGGAGCTCGTGAGCCTGATGTTGCTTCCTCTCTCGCACCGAGTGAAAACTTTTAATTTAAATAACGCTGAGGAGGCAGCCGACCCCGTCCTCCACTCGTCCCAGCATTTATCCATTTCTTGGCAACGCTTTGAGGACTAGCTCTTGGCCGGCTCCGGCGCCTCTGCAGAGCGGCTGGAGCAGCTCCAGCTCATCAACTGCTCGGGGACTAATTGTTGCTTCTGGTTGCCAGTGATGCTGCGGCCAGGTCGCCGTGGAGTCAGATGCTCAGGGTCAAAGTGCGGGGAGAGTTGGTGAACATCTTTGCGAGTGTGAATAACTGAATGAGTGAATAACCAAAAAAGAAAGCACACAGGGGGGAAAAAAAGAAAAACATGTTGGAGACGTTACCGTGGGGTCGGTCCAGAGGGAACACTTGCGGCAGTGGCGGCAGGGCGCGCCGGGAGAGCGGGCGTGCTGGCAGAAGTGGTTGTAGCCGGTGATGGGCTCTCGGCAGAGGTAGCACATGAAGCTGCCGCAGCGGCACGACATCCGGTTGCAGCCCTCCGACTTGACCAGGCCCGTCCCGCACTTCACACACTTCCTCACCCGGGCCGCCGTCATACGCTCCTCACTGCGGCACACACACGGCGGACGGACAGAGGTCAAAACATTTGGAGAAAAAGGGGAAAAAGCAAAGAAGAGGATGATGAAGAAAGATGAGCGGTGGAGGAACATGAAGAATTCAACATGAAGGAAGGAGGGGAGACTCACAGAGACAGATCTGCGTATCTGAAGGACAGAACTTTCCCTTGTGTGTTTTAAACCTTGATGTCACATGAGTCATTTTGTCTGCGGCTCAGTTTCACGTTTAGTATTTTCCTAGAGAGATTAACGAGAGGCCCCCCCCCCCCCGAGGTTTCGTTTCAGGGTCAGACAAACAGTTTTCACATCTTGTTGACTGTTGCTTAATCACAGTCAACAAGAACAGCCCTCTGAGACACATCCATCCCCCTGAGCACTGCACTGTATGTAAGCAGACTGGCCACTTTTCCACATGTTATCATCATTTTATCACTTCCACCGCTGACACTCACATACCTCTGACCTGATATGGCTAACACGGCTAAATTAAAGGGCCCAGACTCAGGAAACTACCGTACAGACAGGTATTTACAGAACTCAGATGAACTGAAGGACTTCTGCTGAAAAGTGACGAGCAGAAATCAGACATCAAAAAGCTTTGATGCGATGAAGATCTTAGTCCTACAAGCAGCTGCTGCCAGGAGAGTTCATGAAGATAAAGCACAACAGACTCCGTGATGCTGCACGTGAGTCGTATTCACACCCAGGAAACCTGGAAGTGCACGACGCTGCAGCTGAGGACATTACAACCCCGACAGGACGAGGACACATGAGCGACCCTCGTCTCCAACAGAGAGAACGTTACAGCAGTTCATTTCAGATATCTATCTGATATATTTGATGCATCACTGTCTCTGTTAGATTCAACTAGGATCAAATTATTGTCCATGAAAAGACATTTGAACTTCATTTGAAGTTGTTGTTTCAGAAAACAATCAGATTTATTAGAAATAAAGATAATAATTATACTTTATACTTTTATAACTGTGCTGTGAGTTGACAGAAGGTTGTCCCTGTTCTCCAGTGAGACCAAACCTCAACATGTGGAGCAGACTAATGTGGCCATTGTGATTCTTTTAGTTTTGTGCTGTTACAACCATCAGGTCTGTCCCGCTCGGACCCTGATCCACTGATCTGTCTACCAGGCCACTTCCCGTCTCTCTCAGCACCAGGAAGTAAGAGGATCTGTGAGCGGCTCAAAACAGGAAGTGCTGCCGGTGGGCCTGCTGGGCCACAGGAAGCAGCCGGCCTCTCCACTTCCTGGAGGGTTGTCCGGGACACTGAACTGTTTACCCAGCATCCTCTCTGAGCCAGGAGTCTGGGGCTGGACTGAAACACCCTCAGAGTCCAAATGTTCATGGGTACATAACACTCCGGACAACTCGCGGCGCTGCTGTTTGAGTTTATTCTCCATCATGTGAAAACTGTCCTGCTCTGAGAGGTGACTGGTGCAACCGTGATCATGGAACTATTTCTAATGTGTTTTTGATAAGAACAATAAACCGTTTTAAATCAGAAAATAACCCAACAGTCAGAGGATACGTGACGTGACGGACAGTGAACTGCATCCACAAAAAACAAGGCTTAAAAACAAGACAATCGATAAAGTGGCAACTGAAAAATCACTGGTAAAAGACAGATGGGGTTCACTCACGTCTAACAGGCCTGTCATGTGTTTCCAAAGGTGGGAAAGAAAATGTCTTAACAGCACAAGTTGAGCTCTTCCTTCTTACTATTTATCACATGTTCTGTTTTAGACGTATGAGAGATTACTCGCCCTGGAAACAGTGAATACATGACAGCACAGAGGTGGAGTGAGATACTTACAAGAGCACCCTCATGCGGATCTCATCCCTCTCGAGAACCTGCTCACACGTCTTCCCTACATGCTGCTTCCACTGGACATGGCACTTTCTACAGCTCTCCTTCAGAGAAAAGAGAAGAAGACGAAGAAGAAGAAGACGAAGACGAAGACGAAGACGAAGACGAAGAAGACGAAGAAGAAGAAGAAGAAGAAGAAGAAGAAGAAGAAGAAGAAGAAGAAGAAGAGACGAATATAGCGAGAGATCAGAGAGAGAGATGAGGTAGAAGAAAAGAACAAAAGCAAAAGATATGACATTTATTTTATATCATCAAATATGAAGAGATTGTGTCACATTTCCACCCCCCCACCACCACCCCCGCCCCCCCTCCTCTAACATGGTCCCAGTTAGTGCTGAATAAGAGGAGCCGTGCGGCCGGCAGCGCCTGCTCTATATGCTGCTGGTGCTGCCACTGCAGGGACTCGGACTCGCACAGACACATCTAGGTGTGGCTCTCGCTGCAAAATGTGAGCGTGTGTCTGCAGAGCGAGAGCGCGGCTTACTCGCCGCTGACTGCTCGGTTGCCTAGGAACAGCAACTCCATCCTCTCCATCCTCCTTCGTCGTGTCGGGCCCCGAGACGTTCAGCTCAGGGACGTGCGGGCCAGACAGCGCCACACACACACACACACACACACA